AAACCAACTGAATTCTTCAAAAAATTATATAAAGAAGAAATAATCTAGGAATTTATCAAACATATTTACCGTCATTTTTTTGGTCTCAGGCGAAAAACCAGAAGCATGTGTCTCAATAGTTTGGGATGAATATGGTTCGGAGTAGTCCACATCAGCACATTGACCGAAAGTTTGGGATATAATAGCCATGCAAGTCTCTCTATGCGAGGATTCAGCCATATCAGCTGAGTGCAATTCCAAAGCTAGCAGCTTTAACAACCATCCCCTCTGCAAAAGACAGAATGTAGTAAGGTAAAAAACGTGGTTATCAAAATAGATGGTACAAACAACTTACACATGTCGTGAACTATAAATTTTGGCATTAACCAACTGATTAGTTATCAATACATAAAAATCGATAATTATTTGCAGCAATATCAAAAGAATATATTAGATATTACAAACACATTCAAATCATAACCTGGAAGAACATGGTGGGTGCTGTTAAACTAGGAATTTTCTACTTTGAAGATACAATCCTCTCTGTGATTCCCTCATCAAGGTGAGAACTGCTGAATGTCTCAAAGTTTATCTCAAATGATGACACACAATTTTTAACAATATGTTAACTTAAGCATGCCAACTTATATTTTGCAACCAACCAAGTTATTATTATGAGGTCATGATGCACGAATCTCTCATGCACTTTACATAGTGTAAAGGTCCGTATGATTGTTTCTTCAGACCATATACAAAATAAAAATAAATAAAGGCATACATGAAAATATCAAGCATATTAATCAATAGACTTGACTTGGGGAATATAGAGATGCCAAGAACATGATCAATGCATCAAAATAAGGAAAAATTTTTCTGTACGGACTCCGGACGTAGCTCTACGTGCGGACTCCAAAAATACACCGACATGTGTGCTACATCGCGCAGGTTATTTTGGAGTTATTGAAGTGGAACCGCGGAGATTAATTCTGGGTTATTACGGGGCTATTGAAGAGAAGCTCATATATTCCACTCCAATAATACGCCGACACGTGTGCTACATCGCGGAGGTTATTTTTGTGGTTATTGAAGTGAAACCGCGGAGATTAATTATGGGTTATTACAAGGCTATTGAAGAGAAACTCATATATTCCACTTCAATAACCCTGAAATAACCTAATGTGGTAAGCTCGAGACAAGCGCCTCGGAACTTGTCATAGGGATGCTTTGTCTAATAAGGTGAAATAATCTTGTGCTAACTTAAAAAAAAATAATTCTCTACAGAATTTCATGCCAATTTATATTAGACATAGATGCATTTAGAACTTTTTTCATATTATTGATGAATACCTATTATGAATGAATGACTCGATGAATGTATGAATGTAAATTAATTTATTTTACAACAGGAGGCTTTACCGTGTTATGACACATATGAATATGCATATGAAATTATCTCTTATAGAAATTTGAATGCTACGATACATGTCTATTATATATGAAATGTCTAATGAATGTCAAATACAAGAATTATACTTTATGAAATGTCATAAATAATGTTATAGGTGAACTATCAAATAACTACTTGTAAGTACAAATGATAGGGATGCGTGATTCTCAACTTCTAGTATTAAGGTGATAACAAAACAATCGAACTCGTTGGGATCAGAGGATGACAGAATGTAAGGGACCATTGGTGTCAAACGAGAATTTGATAGATGTATGTTGGGAGTCTCGCCCCTTTATACATAGTTAATATAGCATTTTGGGTAGTGTGATGTCCCATGATATAGCAGGATATGAAAATAACTGAGGGCCTTGAGGCCTATAAATTGCACAGGTGACATTACAATGATGTTATGATCATATGGCTATCATGACTTTGTTATGATTATGAATACATGCTTATGACCATGCATAAATGAAAGGACATACATATTTTATAAAGCTATCATAATTTTCTATACTACATGCTTTTCTTTTACATGTGCTATACAATTTCAATCATCGCAGGTGACATTGCCATGACGCTATGATCATATGCCAATGATGATATTGCTATGAATACATTTCTATAATGAATTGGTTATTATGAACATACTTATGACCACACACAAATGAAAAGACATGCTTTATAAAGCAGGTCACGATTTTCTACAAAAAATGATTTTGATTTTCATGTGTGATACAGTTCTAACTTGTTATGACTTGTGTGGGGATATGTACAGTTACCTACAAACATGCACATTGTTTCTTTTCCGTATATAAAATCTTATTTTTATTTTATTGAGCTCATTGTTGCCCACACTACGTTGATTACATTTAGAAATGGGTAAGGTGCACCAAGGCGAGACTTTTACAACTTTGGCAATTATAACTTTGGAAGCATGTGCAGTCTTTTGAGTACATATTTTATTTATGTTGAATTTAGCATCTATGAATAGTTTATATGTTTTAATTATATGATTTTTCATGCTTCCAAGTGTATGTAAAAATTAACGAAATGAAATATGTTTAGAGTTAATTAGTTAGACTATTTCATCACTAATTGTATCCTAATACTGTAAGTCAAGACGAGTGTTGGTGAGAATTTAATATAACTGAATTGTCTGTCTCTGTCGAACTATAGCTTAAACTTAAGGGGGGCCAATTGGGGTGTGACGATATAAACATAAACAGTTAAAGATTACTGAAGAAGCAGCTACAATACTCAGGATATCCCTATGTTTACGAGCTAAATGTAAAGGCTTTTCATTGAGTGAACCAAAACAGCACAGTTCAAGAATATGTAAATCAATTTTCTTTTGCAAACAAAAATTCTACGCATTATACCTGATGTAGTGTACTGATGCGGAGAGATTGATTGCTTGTCCTTTTTGGTAGCGGGGCAACACCAATAGATTCCAAGTGCTAAAATTACATGAAGCAAAATTTAAAAAGATAAGCTAAATATATGAGCAAAAATAAAAAAATTGATGTGCTGAAAAGCAAAACCTTCGAAAAGAATTGGTACTTCTTATTACTCAATAAATCCACTATGGGACCAGAAGTAAGAGGATCCAGACATAATTCATAAAAGAGCTGCAAGCAACATAGTAGCAAAAAAACAACCATATTAAAACAAGGACTTCAAATTCGCACAGCAAGATCAACTACCAAACAAGATTAGTTACCAAACCTGAAAACCAAACTCATGCAGTGGAGCGTTTATTTCAGGCTTCAAAAGCTTCTCCAAATTATCAAGAATAACTTTCAAACAACTGAAAATATTGCCAGCTTATTGCCTCTTAATAACTACACAATAATATAAAATATGAACCAAAATATACAAGCCAACACGAAAGAGTTTCAAACCTGAAATGATATTTTGGCTGTAACAAAGTTTTTTCCACTGAACCATTTACATCAAACTTGAGAAGCAAATGTGTAAGATTTGGAGCAGGTTTTCTAATATTATCAATTAGAAGCTGCCAATAACAAATCAAGCATCACAAGTTCGCTAGAATTATTTTGCAAAATACAAAAAAAAAAAAAAAAAATCCTAAAACCTGCATTATGAGAACACCAGGGTCATCTTTTGTATTCTCAACAACAACAGACTCATCAAAACGTGCCTCAAGACAAGCAGCATAATCCTCAATTAGATATTTTGCTGCATTTGTTTTCAATAAAAACTGTACAAGTCCAGCCATCCTTGAGCTGTCAACATATACCAATAGTTGGCATGCACAATTAGATGAGTAGGCAAATCAAAGAATGATAATTACCATTACGCGAAAAAAGTCTACTAACATATAATATTAAAAAGGAACTTAAATTTCACTTGAAATAAAACATGCTGTTCATCCAGCTTATACATTAACAACATATACAGTCAAAACAAAATTCGATGCCCATTTTCTAAAAATTTTGAAAATGATAATTGCAAGCATTCAAATAGAAATTTCTGCCAAAATTTTGCAGTGCGACAATGATTCCAATATTTTTTTGAGATTTGTTATCTCATTTCAAGTTTTTATGCAAATCCCCTATTTATAACAACATCTAATCCACATGCTACAACCTTTTTGTATGATAGAAAGTAGTTGCTGCCCAAATCAGAAAATTTAAACACAAGTTTTTAAAAAATATTATGCTCCATTAGTATATCTAAGACCAAAATATGATTTGCATTTTCATTTTTAATAGAACCTTTGTTCTTATTCTCTTCTCTTACTTTGTGTGTGATGTGTGCACGCATGTGTGACGTATGTGTGAAATAGTAGTAATCTTAATAGGACAAGTAGTCATTATCCATCCTCACTGCGTCTATGATCGGCCATAACAATTGCCAAATGCTAACTGTAACATAACTCATTCTTTCGAACACCTGATCCCGGAAGAAATCAATCTAGAGCACCTCAAGGGAATTAATAGTGCCGCTAGTAGCAGGACACTGGCACAAGGATGAAAACAAAGAGGGGAACGATGACAAAGAAATTTGCATGATGCGGTGGCAACAAAGGAGTGAAACAAGTATGATGCACAACAAAAAGTTTTAAGTTTGAAATAATTTGTAACTTTCAGAGAGAGCTTGCAAACTTATGCAAAACCAATACTTCAAAGGACACAGACAAAAACTCATTTTCAACTAAAGAAATAATTTTGTTCATAGGCTAAGCCAGCATAGCCACAATACCGTCTCATAATGTAGGTTTTAGGACACTGACTTGAACTCATTTTCAACTAAAGAAATACTAGCAACAAAAATCACAAGCCCCCCAACCATGTACCTATAGGGTCTATCTATAATAAAAAATAAAAAATAATAAAAGACTCAAATGCCCTTAGGTCAATAAAAAATTAAATTACCCATAGGCTAAGCAAGCATAGCAATACTCACCTCCACAAAAAGCACATCAACCTCAAGATCGATAAAAGGAAATTTTTGTTGCATCAAGCTCACCTGCTCCCTCGTCGCACACTATGAGAACATGTAATGTCCGATCCTCTCAAACATGTCACGAAACAAACTTTTCATCACGTAGAATACATAGTCTGTCAGCTTGTTTAATCTTTGTCTCTGCAAGGTGCTTGAAGTTGACCATTGAACGGTCCCCCAAATTTGACTCCTTCGGCGCCTCCCTCCTGAAATGGCATCGTGCAGGCCTCGTTGTCATGGTCTTCTTTAATTCTCTCATGGTGTTTGCTCCTTTTGGCCTTCTCTATTTGGATCCTATCCTCCACCATCTGGGCTTTATCGTCTCCCCAAATCTTTGTTCTCTATACAATCGGAGTGTTGCGCCATCAATGAAATTTTTTTGCCAACACTGCTTCAGAAATCTCTCCTAACAAACCCGACAATAGCTCAAATCTCTCCATCTACTCCATTACAGTCCCTTCCTGAGTTGATGCAAATAATTGCTCGTACAAGTCTTCTTCTCGAATGGTTTGGAATCGTTCTAACAAACAATAATTAAATTCTTCCCAAATGCAAATCGGGTACCTAGACTCCCTCCACTGAAATCATGCCAGATTTTTCCCCTCAAAGCATAACCTTATCGCCATGAGCTTCGCCTCCCTATTTAGTCAATTTATCGCAAATATTGCCCCACCCGACACACTCGCCCATGTGTCGTCCTGCTTGAAGATTGGCATCTTCAACTTTCTTATGTGTGAGTAACATTAACAATTCTCTTGATCAAACTTCATTCCTCCCATGAAGCGAAGGTTGGCTTCCATTCTGCCACCCACATTTATTTCCCTCCTTCCATAAGTTTGGCTCGCCTGACAGTTAGCACGCCTGTCTCCAAAGGTTCCAGCATTGCCTTCCGCCCGAAAGACTGCTGCATCAAAAGGCTTTGGCGCAATTGGATGCAGCCCATCGTGGTTCTCTATTCCAGGCTGAAATCATTCGAATTGGTCTTCTCCATCCTTGAATCGCACGCCGTCTCATTATGCTTGCTTAAGCTCATTCAAAATGTCTGGTTGTCAAATCACTCCTTCCACTATGGGTTTGCAAGAAACTCAACCAATTTCTTCATTATTACTTCCAGGGGCATAAATTTGCGCTCTATGAACAAAAATTGACCCTATATGGACGTAAATCGCCCATCCATCGACAAGAAACACTCCTCCACTATATATCTGATTTGGTACATATGCATGAAACTCTACATGATTTATCGTTCAAGAGATTTTTTGTGAGTTTTTGATATTGCATTGTCGGATTCCTAACAAGGTGTAGAAATTAAGTTAGGATGGATGCTTGCCAATAAAAAGCTAAACATCTAGATGTGCTTCTATCTTAAAAGTCTTTGGAAGGTAATAATGACATTTTCACCTCGCTTCTTGCATTCGTTGAATCAAAATCAAGGAAAACATGGTTATGGTTTTGTCAGAATTTAGCCAAGTCAATTTGTTTTAACTTATTTCATCTAGCATTCATATCTAACATGAACTAAGGATTAGCCGAGACAATCATGATAGTTTTTCAAAATATACAGCTTAGTGTTTGTAAATGACATTTATGGAAGAACTTGAATTAGGACGAGTATTACTACTTGTTGATTTCAAAGCCCGTATGTCGTGCTCATCGCACTCAGCTGGCTTAAATTGGGACTTTTCGATGGTTAGGTCAAGCAACAATCTTCATGCACAACTTGTCGAAGAATAGGCTCGAATAACGATGCATCCGAGCAAATTTAACTAGTTGGTCTTCACAAGAGATAAAAAATTTCCAATCACCTTCCTAGCAAACGCGCGATATTCAGGTCTTTGTATGCTGCAATCTTCAAAACGAAGCGAGAGGAGATCAAAGATGTGGTTTCGCACCTCTCTAGGTCGCAATCGTATTGATGCTTACCCAGCTAGCTCTGATCGTGATTATCGAAAGCAACAGCAGGCGAAAGATGGAGGTTATGGGTCTGTGTAAGCCACAATGTTGTCGTTGCAATCTCCACAAGCTCTAATAACAACGGTATCGCGAGGTTCAGTGTTGATGGCAACAAACTCTTGTATCGAGCAATCTAGTCATTGATATCTCAGGTATCGAGGGCTCTAATACCACTTGATACAATATGACCACCAAAATCGACAAAAATTTCCATAGAGATTAGGGCAAAGCAAATTGTTTCCTTCAATAAACCATAATACTCCGCACGAATACATAAGATAAGCAACTACTATTTCAGAGGTAGGCGATATCTCCCAAATCCTACAATTCCAGAGATAGGAAGTCTCTCCCTAGCCCAAAGATTCAGAAGAATAATCTCATGCCCTCCAATTCCAGAGATAGGAAGTCTCTCCCTAGCCCAAAACCTAAGATTCACAAGAATAATCTCATGCCCTTCCAACCCATCTATTAGGGTCTACTTATACTAAATAATAATAAATAATAAAAAACTCATATGCCCTTAGATAAAAAAACACTGAATTGTTGTGAGGCTAAGTCGTAGTATCATTGTATTGAAAAAAAATAATAATAAGATTTTACAAACGAAAAAGAAAGACGGCAACGTTATTCAATATAGCACCATCGGTTTGGATCATTTCTCAACTTACACGGCTAAAAGAAATGCACTACCAAAATTGGTTGCCAGTTGATCATTTAGTCCACTAACTAGTCATTGAGAGATTATTGAGTTGTTGGATAATCCAGCTCTATTCCAAGAGAACTACATTTCTTTTGTGTCGAGTCATTGCTCCACTGCCTCGCGTTGTTTCTATTTTAGGAATTCTTCTGAACTTATTACTTTTCATTTTATTGAGAGGTACAATAAGCCAAGCTTTTCAACCGAAGAAAACAATCATGTTCTTTTAAGTACAGGTTCTCTACGGAGCAAGAAAAAATGAGAAAAATGAAGGAACATGAAAGAAAAAACAAACATAATGAAAGAGGAAACGATGAATAAGGTAAGGGAGAGGAAACAAACAACTGAAGAAGACAAAGCGAGGGGACGGAAGCTAAGTAGGCATTTTCTCTTTATAAATCACGACGGGGTGAGTTTTACCTATCTACAGAGATGAGAAGGGGCGCGACGTCGCGACATTGGTGTCAAGCGAGGGAAGAGTTGGTGCCACTGTCGTGCAAAGGAGGCGACCGATTAAGCTCGTGCGGGACAAAACCGGACGACAACAAGGAAAATTGGGGAAGACGGAGACGGCATGGAATATTGAAGGGGAAGACGGAGACGACAACAAGGAAGGAGGCACGTTACGAGAACCGAAGTCTTGTGCGGGTTTTCAATAGAAGGGGAAGCTCGCAGAGAAGAAGGCGGCCTGGGCTGAGTTCGCGTGTCTAACTTTTACTCGACAGAGAAAAATAGATAAAATAATATATATATATATATATATATATATATATAT